TTTTGCACCCATAAACCATCAACATAGATCATCCTCATGCGAACTGCGGTCATCTTGGCTAGCCATGGAACAAAGACAGTCCACCGCATTGCACGCTTTCAGGTGCGCTTCTGCGGCCGTCTGGAACGTTCTTCTGGCATTAGGAAGCCACTGGAGCTCTACACTCTTAAATCTAGATTGAACACGAATTTCTTTAGCTGCTTTTTGTGTTTATGTTGTTGTCCTTCCCCCACACCTCCGATTAGCATGGTTGGCTACGTACAGTGTGAAATAAGTTAAATATAATACATACTTAGCTAATGTCACCAGTAATTTTTCAATACGTAGTGATCCATAATTATATACTTGTGTGAATATATGCTGTTTTTTCTTCGATGCACAAATGTACATATTGTACCTTCATTCTGGACAACGGGTTAAATGTAATTATTTATCCAGGACAGGCTCACTGACTAAAAGAAACCGTGTATATAACGGTCAGAGGGAGCGGTGGCACAGTGGTTCATCCACTGTGCTATGTTACCTGAAGCCATAACTAACACCAGTAGAGAGTTATATTTGAACCAGTCCTGAGTCCCACCTTCAGCAACCCATGCTGATCAGCTGGATGAAGTTGAGCAAAAAGGTGACCCCATGGCTGATACAACGTTGGGAGGCCTGAATCCAGCTGATTGTAATCCAAGTGTGTTTTTTCTGGGTCAGGCTATATATCAAACTACTCTTTCTCTTCCACACTTGAATTTTTGAGCATTTATTTGTTGACTCTTTTTTTTTTTGACATCGAAGTGCAACTCGTAGATTTTTTTTTTACCACTCGTCGGTCCAAGCCCTCGGGCCACCCCGAACGCATTCTCTACGCCTCCTCATACACCCCCGTTATCGCGTGCGTGCAGGTACGGCTACCACATCTCGTGCACCTCCTACTTCATCTGCCACGACCCACCCACCATCGTGCGCATGTTTGAGCGCCTTCGCAAGTGGGCAGGCGCGGAGGAGGAAGGCGGCGTGAGCGGCGGCGGCAGCGGCCGGGCGGCGTACCCCACGTGCTGCGGGCCCTACGAGATCGCCCACGTGCGGGACCTCACCACGGGCTACGACAGCGGCCAGGCCGACAAGCGCGCCGTAAGCCTCGCACGCTCTTCACCACCGCTTCACCTTGATGCCTGCTGCTCGCGATGCCAAACGGTGGGGGGATTTCCCCCCCCCCCCCCCCACCGAGCCTGTGACCAAACTCTCAGAATGTTGTCCCGATGTGGTCGGATCGCGGAGGCTAAGTGGGGATACCGCTTGGGTGTGTGGCCGTCACGCGTAACCGGGTGCGATAGGCTGTGTGGCTCCGTTGTGGGCGGCAGGGGGCAGCTAAGCAGGATCCATTATTTTACAGTACTCTACTCGTATGCTCCCGCCTTGCACCGACCAATGTGCGGAGATGAGTGGAAAGGCCTTCATCCAACAGCAGGTTTGGCAAAGGGACCGTATAATACTCTCGTTAAAACTTGTTGCTTGGATTGCTCCACCGCGTTGTTGTTGTTGTTGTTGCACAGCTGTTGCCGAGCAGCAGCAGCAGCCAGATGATCACGTTCACCTTCGCCAACGGCTGCGTGGCAACGATGCGCACGAGCGGCACGGAGCCCAAGATCAAGTACTATGCCGAGATGTGCGCTACGCCCGGCAAGAGGTTACCGCTCGCACACGCACACACAACAACCACCATTCGCCACTAAGTGGTGGTGACGTCACCACGACGCTGGTGCCAGGCTACGTGCACCTTGAGGCCACGCACACACGCACACACGCACTCAGCTTGCCGAATGCACAGCGCACACATAACCGTGCGCTTGTTGGTCCTACTGACTCGAGCAACAGGCTGCCGATTTGTAATCTGACTTGTAATCTGATTTGTAATCTGATTTGTAATCCCTTTTACCAACAGGTTGCACTCAGCGTGCCAAATGCACAGTGCACACTTTTGCAGGCCCTACCGACTCGAGCAACCAGCGGCTAATTTGTAATCCTTTATACTGTGTAACGATTTTCGAACGGTCGTACCGCTCCGTACAATTTTTGTCAGGTGAAAATAAGAAAAATGCAAAGTTCTGCTTTTGACAGACTGGGGTGGGAGCATTAATCGGAAGGGTTAGCAGACGTGGTGCTGCCCCAGTGTTTCCTACTTAGATGGTGGCTGCCTCCTCCTACACAGACCCTCTTAATTGACAGCTTTCTCATGTAGCCTCAGCAGGAACAGAAATACTGCTAGGCGACATTACTAGTATTTTCCCATTTAATGGGTTTCATCCGTGCAAGCTTTTTTGCCCATGGGCCTGTAGTTTGTGCATAATGGCATCCTAACGTAATCTTATTTTTCTCGAGCACTAAACATAGTTTACAAAGCCGTAACGGAAACTGAGCGAGTTCGATGGCAGGGGGACGTGCGAGGGCCGAGGAATGACCGTGACAGAGGGCGGCACGTAGGGTCAAGAGAGGGCAGGGCAGGGACGAGATGGAGTGGAGGGATGCACGCATAATAATGTAAAGTCATTTTTAAAAAATGCAAAATCATCCCGAATGGGCATTGTGTTCTCATCGTGCTGGCATCACGTCAGTTGAGATTTTTTAAAAAGGGCTATGTTCGTTTTGGTGTGTGATGTATTGCTGTCTTGATGCGTTTTTTGGGTTGAGCCGCGTGTTGTTTGAGCATGGTGTCCGACGTTTCGCTGCACACGCTGGGAGCTTCTTCGGAAACAGAGCAGTACAGCGCACCAGAGAGTGATATATGGCGCAACCGCAAAAACCCCACGCAGTCGTATTATTATTATTGTTGTGTCATGGGTGAAACTTTTGTTTTGCAGAGACACGGTTGGTCTGGCCAAAGAGCTGGATGACTTGATAGAAGCAATGGTGGAGAACTTCTTCCAGCCAGAGAAGAACGGTTTGATTCGACGTGCGGCGTGAGAGGCACGCGACTGCCGTTTCCACCACCACGTCCTGCTGTCCTCCCAGTTCCAGAAAGCATTGACACATGCTTGCCGGTATCGCAGTTTGGCACGCTCGCTTGCAAAGCACATTTTTGTTGTTCACCAGTTATTTCCCAAGATTTAATTACGTACTGTAATGCAGTAAGCACCTTGGGCTTTTCGTAGTGGCAGCGTCTGTTTAAAAGAGGCACTGCAATCAAGCTGACGTTAATCCCAAGTCTTATCTTAGCTTTTTAAGTTTAAAGCTTAAGGTGCAGTGACTAAGTTGTCTGGTTTTTCAGTAAATTGAGAAACCGCACACATAATCTATACATAACAGGGTAAGTCGTGAGGTCGTGTAAGCCCATCACTCCTCCAAAGACTCCACAGCACTTGTGCATGGACACTGCGCTTTACGTGGCAAATCTGCCATTTTGATTTAATTTATCTTTAACTCGAGTTTGTAAGTGTTTATTTGAAAGAGGTATATATAATAAAGCTGTTCACACTGCACGATTAGCAGCTTCGTCTGCATCAACATCGGTATTCTGGTCAGCCACTCGTCCAGTTGGTCACGAGATTAACAACTATATCACGTCGATTTGTGTTTACTTTACTGCAAGCTCTTGTCCACGTAATGTTTTGCTGTGCGCGCGTGTCGAGCGCACTCCTGAGTCTTGCTGGCTTGGGTTTTTCGTTTTGTTTAGCCATGTGCACACCGCACACCAACAGTTAACTGGAGGCAAGTGGGTGGTTTGTTTCACGTTTGCACCTTGAAACCACCGACACGGTTAAAATTTTTGTTTTAATGTAATGTTATGGTACGATGGTGTCCATGACTGTAGTTTCATTACAAATCGTCAATTTCAACTAATTTCACCCCACTCTTTCACCAAGGTGATGGCTTGCAGTGTAAAGCAAGTTAAAACGCAGATGTCGCATTCATTTAAACAAATGTACACTGGCTTGTATGGAGAAGAGCCCCTGGATACCCTGCTTAAAATAGCATTAGAATATCGTTTATGGTAATAAAAAAAACAGCTGCGATGTTGGAGCGTTCGTTTGTGGCAGCACCTGGTTTTGTGACCAATTTATGAGCCATTTTGAGAAGTCTTAACCGGTTTCCTCTGAACTCCATCAGATTTGATCGCCTGTTGTCGTCTTCATTTGTAAACTGCCATTTGGGGTTCATGTTCAAGATGTGTTAAGAAAAATAAAAAAATATCGCTTACTGAATATGCTTGGGTTTGGCTGTTCTCATTTGTAAGTGAAACAAATCTATCCACCTGCACAGAAAGCTGAACTCTGTAAAAAATATATATTTTTTAAATCATTGTTTCCCTTCTACGTGACTTTATCGAAAGAGCCAAGAATATGAATCCCTGCAGTCACGAAAGCTTTAAATCAAAATCTGTAAAATATCTCAAGTCGCCACATCAAAAACACTGCCTTGAAATGAACAACACTGGCAACGTGTGTTGGCAATGGCCCTTGTTTGAATGGTCATTTTCAAATTGCCACACTGCCTTGTAATGCCTTGTTATTGACGAATGCGAGTTTAGTTCTTTGTGGATGTGCACCGCCAAAACAGCAACACCAAATAATGTTTCTTGTGGTGTGCATTCTCTCGGCGTCTGGTTTTATTTAGCGTTTATATTACCATACACCATATGTGCACACATCTAATTTCCTTTGTCCAAAAATTGAAAATGCACTCAATCTTTCCTTTAAGCATATTGTCTGCAAGTGGGGAAAATGGTGACCACCAATACAACAGTGTTTGTTTTTTACGGGTTTGAATTGCCCGCGGTGTAGTGATTCAAGGTCACAAGCATTCGAAGCTTGCACTCGTGACTTGCCACCGACTGTAAAAACTGCATTATCTAGTGACAACAGGTAATGCGGCATTCTTCTACGATATATAACATTGTCAAAGTGTCCACACTACACCTGCTGGGAAGTCAAGCGAGCTGTGCCCTGACAATCATGAGTGGTACACGGTCTGCAACTGTTTGCAAATGTATTCCTCCAGAAAGTAAACAGAAGTAAATTGCAAACACATTGTTTTTAATAACTAAAAATACAAGCACATTAAGCACTGTCCCGTTAAGGTTTTGCATCTAAATCCATTTTTATACAATTTACAAGTAAAAAAAAACCATTCATAATTTGTGCGTACTCAATCCAGTTTTGGCAATTGCAGTCATTCCCCACTAACACCAAATGAGTCCAAGACAGCTGTTCAATGCTGCACCCTTTATCCAGTGTAGTATACAATCTCCGTTTTACACATTACAGCTATTGGAGAGACACCATTTTAATACATTACCCAAAAAAACCACTTAAAATGGGGTTTTAGGTTCGTGTTTACAATTCAGCTACTTCTAATATTTTGGCCAAAAGCAGTGAATTTAAATACTTAAGCATTTAGAGTTTGTGCGTACTCGCTGCATTTCAGGTAATGGCACAGCAAGAAAGTCAAATTTTACCAGAGCACCACATAATTCCTTGCGTTCTGGACAGCTGTTGAATGCTGAAATTTACCTTGTATACAATTGCACAGCTTTTGACATTTCAGGTATTGGAGACCATATTTTAATAGTTAACCAAATACAAATGTTTTAAGTGCGTGGATCAAATTCAGTTAACTTGTAAAATCATCACCAACAGCGGCTCATGTTGATAAATATTTTTTTAAATCCCCTAAAAGAACATGCTACTATCTGAACACACGAGGCAGTGGTGTTTTGGCGACCAGGTAAATGAATTTCAAACTGGTGGCTACAAATGTTACATCCAAAACCTCTTTTCCACGGTAAAACAACTGAACTACACCTGGGCTGCATCGAAGCAAACTGCAGTGCCAAGTTGTTATGACGTCATAGCTAAGCCGTGGGCGATGATGACGTCACATGTAGATGAGCTGACGCGGTTGTCCTCTGTGTACTGTGGTGGCGTGAAGAACTCATCGTTAGGCCCCCCCCAAGCTATCTGCGCGTAGCGCAAGGGCCCCGCGCTGGCTCGGCTCGAATGCTCCAGTGGACAAGGGATTTCTAGACTCCACCACCCACAGCCCACGGGACGTGCCGTAGGCCCCCGAGCGCGAGGTGGTGCGAGGCAGCGCTGACGCAGCCGACGTTCGCATCTTCTCCGTCAAGCAGCAGCTGGCTGTCGAGCCTCCCGCTGCTCAGAGACACGGGCAAGCGCGCGCCGTCCACCCACACAGGCAGTGCAGAGAACCCACCACGGCCACCGCCAGGGTGGCGCGGAGGGAAGAGAGCCGGAGACGATGCAACACTTCGCAACCGCGCAGTAACCTCGGCGCCACGAGCGACGGGCAGGGCGCCCCTACCTGCACGACAAGGGGACCACACGTCGTGCGAAGGTACAACAGGGCGAGTTGGGCCACATATACAGAAAGCATTTAAATTGGGTTTTATCATCACCCTTAGGCAGTGCCAAAACTGTCGCCAGCAGGGTGATGAGGGAGGCCTTGCCCACAAAAAGCCCCTCGGACACAAGGCAATGATAGTCCTCCTGTACTGGGGATTCGTAACCACAAAACTGGTGTGCAGCTGTCTTTGTCCTGCTGCTGCTGCTGTACGAAAGAATATGGCACCACTTGTACTCTTTTAAGTTTGTGTTCTGAAAGAAAGCTGTGTGCGTTACACTCAGTATGGTGATGTCACGTGATGTGCAAGTTATGTTGGGAGGACCGATTCAAAGGTCTCAATCATACTTTTTTTCCGTCTGTAAATCGCCGATTGCGTATAGCCGTTTACTCTTACACTCATACCTGTTCCATGGTTTGCAGTATGCCTGGCCCCGAGCAATGCCTCTGGGTTTCTGGCAGCTGCTGACAATGATTGATGAGCTTCTGCTCCTTGTCTCTCATCAGGCAAGGCTGGGTTGGTTCCTTCAAACACAAACACGTACACAGCTAGAGGACAAGAATACAACTGATATGTGGCGGCATCGGTACAATCCCACGCTTATGGCAGATGCATATTAAAACTGGAAACGAGTAGCTGCACGCCGCGCGTGGGTCCGGCCTGCACCTCCGATGTCCAGCAGCTGGAAGACGATGAGGTTGTGCTGTGCATCGGGCTGTCCTCTCTCGGCCGCCCGCTCGTACCAGCTCCTGGCGGCCACTAAATCGACCTCCACGCCCCACCCGTGCTGAAGGCAAATGCCCAGGTGGTGCATGCTGTCCACGTCCTGATGCACAAAGTAGTAGTCCATTGTTATTGTTTGTAAAAACAAGTTCACATTGAATAATAATTTTCCCAATTATTTTTCTTCACATTCATCCCCGCGCATAGTCGGCGAAGGGCCATTGCGCCAATAATGTGACCTCTTGTGACGGCATTCGCATCAACTGCTCCTGCTGCTGTACCGGCGTCTCGAGTGATTTGTTTGATCCACGTATCATGGGGGAGGGGGCCATTCCTTGGAGGGTCGCAGTCCACCTTCGAACGTCGACCGCCAAATGAAGTGCACAATTAGTTGCTGGAGTCCGCGCATCGAGACGAGGCGACGGGTCCAATAAATGAGAGCGGTCTCCCTCCAACTAAGCTCTCGATTACTCGGAGACCCGCCATAGATGTCATTTCACTCCGGTTTTGTACCGACTAAGCTATTCCACTACATGAAGTATTAACTCAGATCTCTCTCACAGCAATGCAATTCTTCATGTCAAAAAATAATGATAAAACACAGCCCATGGAAGCAGATGTAACAGAGCTACCTCTGAGAGCCAATCAAATGAGCAGCCCGTCAATCTTGCGCAATGCTGAAAGACCAAAATAAAACGGACCTAAGATAGCCCATCTGGCCATGCAGTCCTATCACTGCACTTGGCTGCCTACCAGTCACAGGCAGTGTATTTGTTTTCTAAGGTAAGTTTATTACCACGTAATGGTGACAACGTTCAGGGATTACTTAACTAGAGGGGCACTACGATTGTTGCCTAGCGGAGGATGTGCATTATCAAGCAGGGGGGAAAATTAGTGCATATGTATATCTAAATGACCACAATGAACTTTGGCCCTATAAAGAAATGTTGTTGTTCTAGAGCTTACCTCCTGTTCTGCTGCCATTTTCAAGAACTTGACTGCTTTATTGTAATCCTTGTGCGGCGCCTTTGTGTAATAAACACCAAGATACGACTGGGCCTAGTGGTGACACATAACAAAGAACAATTTTCAACGTATTTACACACGATACATTAAGCGTCAACACTGGAAGCAACAATGCACAAAGGGGGTGGGGGGGGGGGGGTTCCCGTTCACCGCGCGGAAAGACGGCGGCGGCTATGTGAAGTGAGCGGCCACCTCTCTGAGTCCACCATGAGCAGCTTGCACCAGCAGCTGTTCGACGGCGCCGGCGTTCTCTCCGCTGTTCTTCTTCAAGAACATCGCGAGGTTGTACTGCGCCATCGCGTGGCCCTGCGCCGCTGCGTGGGCGAAGTACATCGCAGCCTGGTGCACATGAACGCAGCCGACATGCGGTGCGAAAGAAGGTCAACATACATATACATACATCGCTAAACATCCAAGTTTTTCTACCCAAGGTGGTACCAATTTCTACTCTGTCCCATGGACTCTTGCGAACGTGCACATTGTATGGACGTATTCTGAACTTATTTTGCACCGTACGTAGCCAACCGTGCTCATCGGAACACAAAAAGCAGTTTGAAAGAAGTGGATTTAAAAGTGCATAGCTCAAGTGGCTTGGCATTCCAGATGGCTGCAGAAGCACATATATCTGCTAGTATTTGTTCGATGGCTCAGCCAAAATCCACTGCGAGGATAAACAGAGTTCACGTGATGGTTCATGCTCCTTGATGACATCAGCAAGGTGTTGTGGTTCCTTCGTGACAAGCACTTTGAGTGTAATGAGTGCGAGCTTACAATAATATTACTTATAAACTTGCACCACAGCTGGACTGGAGGATATGGCACTGTTGGTTAGTGGCCCGACCTTGACAATCGCATTTACAAATGTATCACCATTGTCAACTGATATTAGTCACACTGTGATTGCTATTCATTACGTATCACACAGTCACAATTGTAATTGACCGTAGTTCCTTTTAAGGCTCCTCAGTTTATAATTTAGAACATGGGTAAGGGGGGAATCTTTCCGTTTGGCCCGAATAGGAATTCAAAATATGTTCAACAGGCAACATTCTCGATATATTTACGTCCACTGCAAAAGACCTTTGCAGAGAGAAGTGACCGAGCGTGCTAGAATTAGAAACACAGTGTTGCCAGTTTAACAAAAATTCCCCTCTTGTACCGTATTGTCACTGCAGGCATCTCAGCTGCACTACACAGATAGCAGTGCAGGCTGTTTAAACGCTAAAAAGTTATTTTACCAAGTAAGGTCAACCGCGCTATATACTCGCACACGCGATAACCACCATTCGCACCTCCGATTAGTATTGTTGGCTACGTATGGTGCGAAAGAAGTTTAACCATATGACTCTCGCGTCTAGTATTACAATGGAGGGTAGAGAGTGGTGGTGGTGCATTCGTTAGCATACTGTGCTATGAACCTGCGACCAAAGTTCAATCCTAGTCATGGCTAACACTAGCGGCAAGTGATATTTGAACCAGTCTTGGACTCCCCCTTTCACCAACCCGTGCTAACCAGCGTGGTGAAGTATGGTAAAAATCTTCATGACCAACACAGTGTGGAGAGGTCTTCAGCGAGCATGACTGAGGGCCGTATTTTTTTTTTTACACAAAAATGCACTTGTATTGTTTAGCAGAATTAAGATGAATACAGTGACAGTGGGTTACGAGCTGCAAACGATTACTATTGACATCTGTGCATAGTCAAGCTCGCAGAGGGGAGGAATACTCACTTTGTTAATGTCCTTGGGCACTCCTTTTCCAGTGTTATAGCAAAGGCCAAGATTGTACTGCGCCTTGGCATAGCCCTTCTCAGCTGCCATCGTGAACCAACGAGCAGCACCTTGGACATCTCCACCCTTGGCTCTCTCCAAGCCTGCACAAATACACCAGGAAAAATCCAGATACTTGATGTGGTTACCGCAACATAACATTACCATTCCTTGCGGTGACTTCGTTTTTACAACATCGTTCGGTGCATATGATGACTATTACACTTGCTTATCCAGGAAAGCGTCAAGACTTTTCCAAGAGGGTCCTGTCATCTTCTTGCAATGGGTGGAAAGTTTTCCCATGTGCAAACTCAAATGAGTCATTTGTGGGTCATGTTTCAGCATTGGGATGTTTGGCCAATATCAGTAACATTGGTATGTTTTTTTATTGCTATGAAAGAAAAAACAGGACAGGGAGAGAACATACAAGTAAGCTCCACAATGACTGGTGCACAATGCAACTATTGGCAAAATGGAAGTCACTTTCTTACCCATGATGTGTAAAACAACACTGACAGAGTTGTCCGAAACGGATTGCAGTTTCTCAGCAGCCCTCGTTAAGCACTCTTGGGCTTCGACTATAGAGTCCTGTAAGACGCACACACACACACATACATTCACATCTTTTAGATGGTCTGAATGGAAAAATGTACAACTTTAAGATCAAGGTATGAAACTTTATTGCAGCAGTGACCTTCTCAGGAGCATCTCCACTCCAGGACAGTTCACCAAAAGACAGGGCAGTTGACGCTTCACTTTCTGTAAACAAAAAAAAAGCATCATTACATCCATTGGTATTCACTACTCAGTGAGCGTATTGTGGTTTCTGAGGAGTAAAGCTTATCACGTGAAATGACACTCAAACTTTAGTGTGACGTTTCTATTTAAAGGTACAACTACACGACAAGACAGCTGGCACTGACCACTCCGATAGGGCGAGTGCGGTGCGGTGGCAGCCGTGGCTTGGTCAGCTGGTCCTTGTGCAGCCAACCCATCTGACTCGAAGCCAGAAGTTGTTGATGACTTTGGCAGGATGCCGAGCTGCAGGCCTGAACGTCACGACCATGACAGAGATACCACATAGGCTGCTGTTAGAACTCAAGAAACACCTGAAAGCGATACATGCAATAAGAAGTGATACATGCAACAAACTACCATCTCAGTTTGTTTAAAAAACCCAATATACTTATGAGCTGTCTGAAAATGTGAAATTGCCATATTGTCATCTTAAAACACTGCCATTGTTATGGTTTTCCAAACAGAAGCACTGGAAAACCCACAACAAACACGCAATGGAACATGCGCACTGTTTAATATATCAGAGGAATGCAGCAAGGCGAGTGTCTGGGTTTCAAATGTAACACGTCCTGACGATCGTTACGTATAATCCCAAACGAGCATTTGCAGCGCTAGTGATTTTTCTTGTCTTCACGAATTTGACCAAACGTCGCCCTTACCCAGGCAGGATGGCTGCAGAGCGGTGCCGACCAGCTTGTACAGGCAGCGGCTGACCCTCGAGCCGGAGGCATTACGCCGGTCGTCTCGGCATGCTCGCGGAAGAGACTCATGAAGACGCTTGACCAGCTGCAGTCCTAGAGTCACAAAGGCTCCCTGCGCACAGACGCACACGGTCGCCCGCAACAGGTCACGCGTTGAGTACGGCACCGCGTCCGTAGTCCAAGCTCGCGCTGTGCAATGCTTGTAAAGAGGTAGAGTTCCTTGCGCCTAATGTTTGACCTCGGAATTTTAAGGGTTAAAGGGCAAACCAACCTCACCTACAGTAAAACCTCGTTATTTCGGTATTTAATAATTCGTAATTGGGGATAATTTGGCAGGGCTGCACCTTCGCTATATATATATACAGTATTAATTCTCCATGAGCCAAATTTCCATACCGAATAGAAAACGAATTTGGAAAAAAAAATTATTGGAGCAGGAGGCACTGGGGAGTTCCATTGTACATAATTCGGAATATCAGATAATTCGACAAGGCCAGAGCCCCATATGTCGAATTAACAAGGGTTTATTGTATAAGAATAGGTTTTGCCCTTTCTGCCAATAAAACAGATGTAAACATGTTCAAACATCAAACAGAAACCTTTTGCAATGAATCATGCCTGCATTAATCACACATACTTGTGGTGAACATGCAAACAAAAACATGCTCTGGTAGTATATGCATCGTCTATGAAACTCCTTGGTCTACACCAGAGACAGCCTTCTTTAGGGCCTAGTCTCAACCATTGTTAGACCAGAGAACGCCAAAAGGTGAACATGTTTAAAGGTTTACTGTATATGCAGTGAACATCAACTGTTTATAAATACATTTTCCATGTTGTATTGCAACGGTCTAGTCGAGGATGTACATGTGTAGAAGCACTGTATTAAAAAGACATCTATTCAGTACATTAAGTGTCCCGTCATATGTATTCAAGTCAAATGTTACTTTTCTGTAGAGATAGAAAGCTCAAAACTGTGTCAACGTCGTGTTGAGCCCTGGATGAGTCAGTACGGCTCTGTGTAAGCAATAGCATTTTACGGCACCCAATATACCTTCAATCATTTGCCAAAAGGGCACATGTCCCTACCAATTGCCAAGGCACCCTTTGGCTTTAAAACAAACAATGAGTTTTGCCTACAATTAAAAAGGGAGAGACCATATATATTGATATCAAGAATAAATGCCATGTTTAAATTCAGGGACAAGCGGAGAAGCCTCACCCAAAAGAAAGCGTCGATGATTGGTGGCGAGTGCATGAACTCGCAGCGGGAGCTACGCCGGCCCTGCTTCGTCCTCTTGCCCTCTGCCCGGCCTGCGTCTTGTTGCTGAGAGCTTCCTTCGCTGGACCCCCATGTCTGCGAGCTGTCAAACAAAAGGTGAACAGCGATTTAATTATGAAAATATAGGAATAGGCTTTACCCTTTCTGGCAATAAAACAGGTGTTTAGATATTCATACACCAAATAGATACCTATTTCAAGGCATCAAGTCTGCATTAACCACACATACTTGTTACAAAACTAGCAAACAAACATGCTCTCATAATATATGCATTGTCTTTGAAACTGATTTGGCCTACACGAGAGCCAGCTTTCTTTATGGCCTTGTATCACCACTGTTGGACCCAGAGAACAATCGAGCATAAATCCCCATTCATGCCAAAGTGCATATTAGCCATTTAACTTAAAGCAACATGACACCACCCTAGGAAATCATCACCCCATCATTATGAGGAACAGCCATGATCAATCCACTGCGGGAATGAGGCCTCCCCAAGCACATGTGCTGATTTCAATTACATAAAATACTTTCAAGGAATTCCAGAGAAGTCGTGCTTGTGTTTTTTTTAAAACGCATATGCATGTTATTGCGCAACCATTGTGTAGTCAATGCAATTGGCAGCGAGGTGTGTGTGGTGGATCGTGCTGTGTCACCTGGAGTGAGCGGGACCGAGCGAGGTCCCCAGCTCATCTTCACCGTGCTGGGGGAGCTGAGGGGTGACCCGGCACTGGTGATTGCAGTGACTGCGCCCAAAGGCTGAGGACGAAGAGGAAGAGCGTTTGAGGGGGAGTTTGGTGATCTCAGCAGGACAAGGATCATCAGCAACGTCTCCAACGAGGTTACATAAAGCCTGGAACAACTTAGTGGGATGTAGCAACTTTATTCTAGATGGGGATTCCCCTACACCTGTTTGGGTTGGAGGGGTTATTTTATCACATCTCACCACGCTGGTCACTGTGGGTTGGTGACAAGGAGCATAGATGTGGAAGCATAGCAGTGCAGTACAACAATGGATTTTGTTTCACTGCCCTCTAATGTCCAGCACTGAGCCTTACAGTCACCTCTTGACAACTTGCTTGTGCATGGTGGTCACCCATCCAACCACTAGCCACGCTCAAACCTGCTTAGCTTCTGAGATCCGTCACATTGCGGGCGGTTTAGTCAGACAGATGCAACACAAACAGCGACACATTGAACTGCTAAGATTCACAACCGGTTGCTATTTCCAAGGAAACCCTTGAATGAGTACGTGTCGTTGTGAATGTTGCATTCAATAAGGGCCATAGCCCGAAACGTCGCATATTATATACTTTTCCTCTTGACGAATGTCTTAAAAAATTGTTATTAATGTCATTTACCACACAAGTATCTCGCATTATAACCCTAAAAAACGTGCACATCACTTCCACCGGCACAATTATTGTACGCAGAGATCAGTGTGTTGCACACACGACGCATTTTTATGACATTTCACGGCTAAATCTGGGCTAACCTTGTCAATACTCAGATTCCGTGCAGGCAGGCTTAATGTGTCATTCAAGTAAATTGCAAATAGTTTCCAAACAACGCGTTATAATCGCGAGGCCTGGTTTAACGTGCAGTTGGATTTCAAGGGTACAAAGCCAAAACCGTAAATCTTAACTGCATCAACCGTAAATGATTCAACTTGGAGCCCCAATGTTGAGACTTCAAATGCCATCGGATCAATGTAATCTCGTTGAATATGTTGAATGTCGGTTATATATGGACAGTAGGGTTATGTTTAACATGCAATTCGATTCCGTGGGGTCAAGCTTAGTGTGAACGCAAACACTACCCTTACAATGCAGCCAGATTAAACAGGCATCTGGGTAAAGATACATTCAATTCCATGTGGCCATGTTAAATATAAATCTCATAATCAGTCGGGTTATACAATATTTGACAACGAAGTTGAGACGGTATCGTTTTTTAAAACACTTTAAACCTTTTTTGGCCAGTATCAAAGTATGAAAAAAGAATACGTTTTACACTTTCTTGCAATAAAACAGGTGTTACGACAAGATAGATGTTGATGCATGTTAAGATGCACCTTAACACCTATTTTTATTAAAATAAGAACAGGGTTTACCCTGTTAACCGGGGCAGAGATGTAACATGCAGACCACATCCAACAAGGGGGTCCGTCAGTTTCGCTTAGGGCCTTACGCAAACACAACAATGCAATAAGACCCATGCATTATGTAACACCACTTTTGTTCCTGGCTAAGTGTTATTTTCTAATTGTTATTCCTGAAAAGTATAGAAAACGACTATTATTGTTCCCCACAAACTTTGTTTTTATGACCTCGACTTTACGTGAAGGAATGACACAAATGCACACCACGTGTTCTCATTGACAGTAGGTACATTTAAAAATATCACTCTCCTGGTCACAAAAGCAAAGTTTGTGGGGAGTAATAATAGGCATTTTCTGTACTTTTGAGGCATAAGCAATTAGGAAATAACACTTACTACCCAGGAACAAAAAATATATAATTTGTTACACAGTCATTCAGCTATTACTCGACTAAGGCCTACATTGTACCTGCATTGTACCTACACCGTCCTACGCTGTACCTACATTGTACCTACACTGTACCTACATTGTACCTACACTGTACCTACATTGTACCCACATTGTACCTACACTGTACCTACACCGTACCTACATTGTACCCACATTGTACCTACACTGTACCTACACTATACCCACATTGTACCTACACTGTACCTACACTGTACCCACATTGTACCTACACTGTACCTACATTGTACCTACATTGTACCTACACTGTACCTACACTGTACCTACATCGTACCCACACTGTACCTACATAGTACCTACACTGTACCTACATCGTACCTACACTGTACCTACATTGTACCTACACTGTACCTACATTGTACCTACACTGCACCTGCATTGTACCTACACTGTACCTACATTGTACCTACATTGTACCTACACTGTACCTGCATTGTACCTACACTGTACCCACATTGTACCTACACTGTACCTGCACTGTTCGGCTCACAGAGCTCTACCTACTAAATGAACTGGAACTGAACGGCACTCACCGCGCACCGCGCCGTAGATGCGCCACATCGCCCCTCTCGCTCAGGCTCCGGGCAGCGGCAGCGGCATGGTCCGAGATGTTCGCGAGGAATGAGGAGAAAGAGAGAGAGGAGGTGGGGGGTGGTTGCTGTCAACTTGCAAGGCAGTCGACTTGGCAACTCGTGACAGTCGTCTTGGCCCTGGGAGCGGCGCGCGGACTAAAGGACGCCCGGTAGAGGACTCCGGTAAAGGGTTTGGTAGAGGATTCCGGTAGAGGGTTTTGGTAGAGGATTCCGGTAGATGATTCCGGTAGAGGATTCCGGTAGAAGATTCCGGTAGATGATTCCGGTAGAGTATTCCGGTAGAAGATTCCGGTAGAGGATTTCGGTAGAAGACTCCGGTAGAGGATTCCGGTAGAAGATTCCGGTAGAGGATTTTGGTAGAGGGTTTGGTAGAGGGTTTTGGTAGAGGACTCCGGTAGAGGGTTTTGGTAGAGGATTTTGGTAGAGGGTTTGGTAGAGGATTTTGGTAGATGACTCCGGTAGATGGTTTTGGTACAGGACTCCGGTAGAGGGTTTTGGTAGAGAGTTTGGTAGAGAGTTTGGTAGAGGATTTTGGTAGATGACTCTGGTAGAGGGTTTTGGTAGAGGACTCCGGTAGAGGGTTTTGGTAGAGGATTTTGGTAGAGAGTTTGGTAGAGGATTTTGGTAGATGACTCTGGTAGAGGATGCTGGAAGGTGGCGGCTGCTGCTGTTGTTGTTGTGGAGGTGCGGCGCGTTTTCAAAGTGCACCCCAAAAGAAACGACTACACACGTGGTTGGGTTGGTGGAGGGGGGTTGGGGGTGTGAGTTGTTGGTTGGGTGGTGGTTGATTGGGTAGTGGGGGGGTGGTGGTAGGGGGTTGGTGGTGGTGGAGGGGTGATTGGTTGGCGGTGTGGGTGGCTGGGGGTGGGTGGTGTGGCATCAGTTGGAGGGGAAAAACCCCGAAATACGAGGCAAGTGTTACGCCACTGAAACATAAATATAGCAGGGTGGTCCGTATGTCTTGTGACACCATATGAATTGACCCCTATATATTTTTTATTTTTTACGAACCTTACTTTTAAAAAAATGACGTTTAAAATAATTCAATTGGGGGGGGGGGGACGGGTCACAAGACATATGGACCACCTTGTACGGTTCCATCAGCCCCGTAGACCGTGGGTTCCAGCTGCAGGCAAAGTTTGTGCACAGTAGCACCGCGCTCACAACAACTTTTGTGTGTGCGTGGCTCAGACAAATAAATCACCGAGGTTCGATTTCCGACTCGGGCGCCTTGCAAAGTTGCACATGTGTGTTCTCTCTCCCCTGTTCTGCAGTAAGAGTGTGTGAAGAGTTTGTTTGACACGTAGGCTTTTGCGATCAATATCCGTAATACAGGAGTTTTTTTGGGGGGGGATTAGATCGCGTAAATATATAAATGTGTCGTTAAACTCTCCCCGATGAAGCTAGTTGCAATTCTTCTTCTTTGGTTCTTTCGGTAAAGTCACGTAGAATGAGAATAAAATAATAAATTGATAAAATAAAATAACACAATAATATTCTCACGACGTTTCGGCCACAACACAAGCGGCCTTCATCAGGCGAAAGGACGAGACTGTCCTACCTGACAGTCTCTTATTCTCATTCTACGTGACTTTACCGAAAGAACCAAAGAAGATGAATCATTGCAGTCACGAAAGCTTTAAATCGAAATCTATAGTTGCAATTACTGTCGAAACATCGTACTTGGATTGTGAATGTTGTGGCTTTGCACTCCAACACATCGGTGTGCTGTACTAGTGACGACTTGGCATGCTCTAAGTGACAAACCTTACTAATTGGCTGTGTCGGGTGGTGGCGGGTTTAACAACACATTTACGCGATCTAACCCAAAACAACCTGTGCAATGTGTGGAGTTTGTACGCCCCCTTGCTCTGCATGGATTTCCTCCCCTAACTGTAAAAAAAATACACGTATCTGTTCATGGCAAATCATCTCAATGCTGAAAAAAAACCCCTGCAAATTACTCTAAGATTACACACGTCACAACCTTGCCTCCCGACTGCGCAAAAAACTTGGCAGGACCCTTCTGAAAACGATCCTTCGGTGAACCTTACCCGTCATTTGAACTGATCAAATTTCAATTATGAATTCACCGCCCTGCTTTTGGTCGGCACACAAAACCCCCGGGTGTGTTTGGGGTGCAGTTTGTAAACGTGCCGCGTGGCCTTTAAATAGCCGGCTCAGGCCACCGACGCTCAAGGACAAAAGTTTGTGACACTCAAAAGCGATCGTGCCTTGCCTACGGCCACTGGAACGGAAAAATCGTCCCCACCTAAGCGGCCAAATTACACGCACTGCGACTTCACGCACCACATACAACTTCTTTATGTAAATGATCCAGCCGAGCACCTTGCGTACTAGCTGATTCCATTGCTCCATCTCCCAAGTGTATAACGGACTCTCGGACACTGTCACCTATATTCTTGGCCACCGCCTATCACTGCTGGTAACAACGTGTCTGTACAAAGTCGACTTTATCAGTTTCAATCGTGTCCTTAACCTATATGCACTAACCCGTCGTTAGCTGTAAAAAAAACAGTTTTTATGTATCACCACATTTCTGTGGTGAAATGTTTGTGTTAAATCCATCATTAACGATATATTTGAATTATTTTCAAGGTCTGGCAAGGAAATTCCATGATTGGCCAAAACAACTTCTGGGAACCAAGAATATGAATCACTGCAGTCACGAAAGCTTTAAATCAAAACTTCTGGGAAGTAATGACAAGACATTGCCAAGACAACCAAATTTAGAAATAAATAAAAACCGGTGGCTATGTGTCTAAAAGGCCTTTGTGTGTGGCAGCATTGTACTGTATCTCAAACGTATTGTTATTGATTCAGCGTTTGCAAACCAATTTAAGTGGTCTAAGGTGCACAATTCTTGACTTCTCTCCATCTTTGGTGATGCAGAGGGTTTGGTGTTACATGTTATTTATGTAGTTTATTGTAAAAATTCGGTCACAGTCCTTGTGATCACTGTTACGTTGCAATTATGGCTTTATTTTTTGGTGATTTGGAAAACGTTTTTTGGTTTGGACATGTTTGTTTTGTTGTAGTACGGAGTTAGACTGATGGCCTTAATCTAAGTTTTCTTGTGGTTGTTGTTGTTGTTGTTTGACTTGCATCCCACTGGGATTTTTTGCACACAGCGTTGGTGTACGGTGCTATTTTCAGGAATATTTTTGCTGGTTTTTTTTCCATGGATTTTCTGTTTGCACTGTCACATAGTCACATTAAGATGTTTTTCTTGTTCGTGTTTTTGTTTTTTTGTTTGTTGCGGTTGCACCCGATTCAAGAGCCGGATGGCTCACAGGGCTCTACCGAAAATAAACTGAAACTGAAATCTGTGGAACAACGTCAAGTGGAACTGGCCCCTGCACGACAAAAGTGCCACATGAAAGCCTCCCCGTTCAGTCACTCTACAGTGGATCACTTTCTCTTGATGGTTCAATCTAGACATGAGCTTGTCAGTGGAAGGAATTCCCTCTCTTCTTGTGCATGTCCCTTTTGGGCCATTTGGGGTGTGGCCGTTTCCTTCACTGGAATCTTCTTGCAGTGGTATTTCCACTTCATTCTATGTCCGGCGCTGCGTCTTGCAAAGGTGATAACTTCCATATCCTGTCGAATGTTTGACAGCTAATTCCCCTCTGCATTGCAATATAAATTTGAGGAAATGACCATTTGCTGCAATAAATTGTAATCTATGTTCAGTACATTGAATGTATTGTAATCTACAGCGTTCCCTGGCTCACGATCCAGTTGCTCGGCAGATATGCTCAGAGCAATAACATTGAAGTGATAACAGGGGAGGAAGTGAACAATATTTATTGCTGTCTCATACACCTAGCAACAATGATGCAAAACACCACATTTCAAATCTATCGGGTTGTACCCTTGAAATAACATCGGAGGATAGACCGCGTCCCACGTACAATGGGAGGCATTTTGGGAGCGAGGAGGGAGCCGTCACATTTAACAAGAATTTTAACCGCTATCCTAAATCTCAAATAAGTGAACAGCAACAATAAAATAATAAAAATATAAAACAATACAATTATCATGACGTTTCGACTGCAACACAAGCAATCATCATCAGGTGTGAAAACCACAGCAAGAAAATGTGAAAACTTTTTTTCAAATTTGAAAACTTTTTTCAAATTTTCTTGCTGTGGTTTTCAGACCTGATGATGATTGCTTGTGTTGCAGTCGAAACGTCGTGATAATTTTATTGTTTTATAATTTTTTTTATTTTTTTGTTTCCCTTCTACGTGATTTTACCGAAAGAACCAAGAATATGAATCCCTGCAGTCACGAAAGCTTTAAATCAAAATTTAAGTGAACAGCGTTGCAAAACACGCAGAAAGTCCCAGCTTAGTTCTGCATTCTCTAGTCGTGTAACCGCTGTAACTTCTGTCCAGTACTGCTCCAACTACACCCAGAGATGGAGTTGAGTTCTCGCAACGTATATATTTAAAAAGGTAAATTACACCTTGTTTATGCCTTCGTATAATATATGCTATTCATGTTTCGTGAATAAAAAATACAAGCTTCCAATGGGCCAAACGTGGTCTTATTGGGAAACAATGCGGTTTAAAAAAAAATTTGATGGAAATTGCAATTTCTGTTACATTTTTGTTAGTAACTCATACCTTGTGAGCCTATAACGGCACAGGCTAAGGAACATTGACTAGTGTGACATTGTGTAAATGTGAACATTTTCAAATATACTGTAATTGACCATTTACAGTGTTAGAATCACTTATTTTATTACTGCAAGCACTTACAGTGTGTTTATAAACCAAAAGAGAGCAGAAGGGGAAGAAAGTAATTATTTTAAGTATATGATTTTCACTTTCAGAGCCAAAACATCCGCATTTTGATCCTTAAAAAATAACAAGGTTAAAGATTACAAAGTTGAAACAGCGCATCGCGATTACAGTGGTTAATGCGACTCAATTGAAACAAAACGCTTATCTCCGCATAAACGACCGTTGGTTACGTATGGTGCGAAAGAAATTCAACATACATACGAATGTCTCTGCTTCAGGAAACGATTATTCGCAAAAAAAAGTTCGGAGCCGTCACTGGGACAGTCACTTTTTTCCTTTCGTGAAAATATCAAAGAATGCACACGCAACATACATTTTTTCCATCCAAAACACAATTTTTTTTAGTCTTTGCAGTATTTATCAAACGGCAAAAAATAAGTTCACGCGTAAATAACAACCATTCGCTACGCCCAGTGTGAAAAATCTGAGAACGCCTTGGAAATTTTCCATCGCTCTCATCCCCTAAATTAGAAAACCTAATTATGCCACGGAATGTCGTGAACAAAGTTACGATTTGATGCACGTTAAAAAAATCCGCTCTTCAGCGTCAGATATTTGGACGCCGCTGGAAATGCTTACAGTGACTATAACCAACCTGCATCATCGCATATTGAGGAATATGCACAAATAAGCCTTGACGTTTCCTAACTTTTATTGAAGCTTGTAGTGAGCGCCACAGACGTAGCATTCAGTCCACGTGATCATAATATTGCCGGTTGAGCAGGGACCCGTTTATACGAAAGACACACCACATTGACATGCAATCAAACACTCTGTGGACCTCCAACTCCATAAATGCATCCCATTATTCCCACAAAAAAGACAATGACCAGACAGGCAAAGCGACGGCGATTTTTGCACGAGAGTATCTGCGAGCACTTGCTCTGCGTGTTTGTGTTGTGTCTAAATTTCGTCGTGACGTGCGTTGTTTTTTTTTGCGCCGGGCATCCGGCGTCCAAGGTTATACTTGCAGGATCTCTCCGCTCAAGGACTCGCGTGTCGAGAGGGGAAAAAGTGGCAGGGGTGGTATGTGGTGATGGGCAGCAGCGGACGGCTGGGGAGAAATGGTGGAAGTGGCGGATGGGATGGGAAGGTAACATTTTATTTATGAAAACGATGTGATAAATATACTGCCAAGGAAACAAACAATGTAGTATGTGGGTCTTTGTTTCGTAGTTGATGAAAATGATCCACTGTGCCCACAGCTATCTAACCCCTCCGTATCTGCCCGTGACCCCCTCTGCAAGGGCCCAGCCGCACTTTGAAGTTTGGAATGCCCTATTCGCGCATGGTTATTGGTCAGTTTACAGATAAGGCTCCTGAAGTTTATCCCACAACTTTGGCACGGATAAGGGGGAGTCTTGCTCTACTTTAATTATGTTAAATCCATGCAACTACTGTATTGGCTCATGACTTGGTCCTGCACTGCTGCATAATTTAAAGGTCCCCTCATCTGCATATCGGCATTAACCTTGTTGAAGGGAGAAATACACAAAATTAACCATTATTTTTGTCCAAAAATGTGTCGGTGTTTTAGCCAAATCTAAAAATATTGTGGATGTTTCTGAGCTAGATATAAAAATGGTGGCTGTGTCCAGAAAGCCACGATACCCACGGTGGCTGCCCTCCCACCACTCCCCCGGCCCCTCTGTGACCCTGGCAGGACGTGGCGCTGCGGTGCTGGTGCTGTGGTGCAGGACGTGGTGCTGTGGTGCAGGACGTGGTGCTGTGGTGCAGGACGTGGTGCTGTGGTGCAGGACGTGGTGCTGTGGTGCAGGACGTGGTGCTGTGGTGCAGGACGTGGTTGCTGGTACCATCCTCACTGTCCCCCCTCCTTGGCCGTCTCCAGCAAAGCCGTGGCTCCTGCATGGGAACAAACAAAATATACGCGTGTGAAAAACCAATAACATTTTCGTTTTTTTTTCAAATCACTCGTTGCATCAACTTAATAAATGCTTGGAACTGTTTACAAGACGTTGTTTTGCATTTATTTAAACGTCGGTGACGTGCGGCAAATCTACTTTGGATGTTCAGCAGGGGTTGTGACGATGAATCGATTCTTAGATGAATAATGATTTTTCATCTCACGATACACATGTATTGAATTGCGTGAGTAAGAATCGATACTTTTCACTTCGAGGATTTTTTTCCTGGAAAAACTGCAGGCACAGCGACAAAAAACAAAAAAACCACACCGCCACGTTTGTCACGAAGGAACAAAAATGCCGCGCTGTCCGTTCCGAGGAAAAGGCCATTGCTGAAAACGTCAGCCTATGTATTATTTTTTTACATTGAAAGGCAGTGTTCATCACGTACGTGGTGAGCGTGCTGGTGTTGTGTTTGTGATTTTTATTTTCCCATGCGGTCTCTCGAAAACATCAACCTCTCTGAGTTGACACCTGGGGGCTTGCAGTCATGAAGGAGAGAATCACAACAAGAAAAATCGCACCCAGCGCAACGGTGGTTTGAGGCACGGTCTTGTTTAGACCCAAACTGCAAAGACAAAGGTCCCCCGTGTAGCCATAGCAGACTTTCGGTGCAAGTTCTGTTAGTGAGCACCTATGAAGGCCGGCACGGCACGCGAGGGTGGTGGGTGGCCAGCACCACGACACTTCACGTGGCCTAAAAGTGCACCTAGGCTGGCACAGGCGCCGTGGTGACGTCACCGCCACTTAGTGGCGAATGGCGGTTGTTGTTGTTGTTGATGTTGACAGTAACGTGCTGCCCTGGATGTGGTCTCGGGATAATTCAAGGTTGTACCTGCAACTCTATGCCTGCGTGCATAATAATACCCGTGCATCACCATCAGCCATCATCTATCCACGACACGCAAATACGTTGCTACAGACACGCACAAAATACTGAAACACTCAGAAACGACATTGCAAATATCTCCCGTATAGCTTTGAACAGGCTGTTGGGGCAAGTGCTGTTGGCGAAGAGCTATCAAGGCTGGAACGGTACACAAAGGGGGAGGGTGGCCAGCACCACGCCCGACCGCCTTTGTCTCCCCAGTGGCGATGTTTTACACACCGCACCGGGTACTCATTTGAGGCTGAGTCGACCTAGGGGAGTCCCAGGACCGGTTCAGATAATCGTCACTGGTGTTGGCCGTGAGCGGGAATCGAACTCAGGTCGCCAGGTCTTAGTGCAGCACGCTAACTGCGACACTATATGCCTGGACTCGGTACACACACACACACAGCTTTGGGAAAGATCACACCCATGGATGCATCGACGCATTTACCGCGCGCACCTTGATGACAGCTCCTTCCCTCAAGGGCAAAAGGCGGCCTGGCTTTTAATCTTCAGCCAATTGACACATGCACTGTTTTTCATTTGCATACATATGAGACGAGCTGGTTGTTTTGAAGAGCTGGCGTTTGTAAAGCATTCATCGCCTGGAGTCAAGGAGATAAGCAACATCCTGGATGGTGGGAACAGATAATCTGTGAGGTTTGCGGAATTCTCAGAGAGAGACCTTGCATGGAGGGGGGAGGGGTGTTATGAAATTGCTTGGTAAATTATAGCAACAGCTTTGGTGGGAAAGTCACACAGCTGCCCATGGCAACGCAGAGTTCTATAGCGACCTAGCGTTCTAATCTATGGCGTGACCGTATATGTTAAGAATGTGCCAAACAACACCTTCATGCATGACGAGGTATTGCAATTTATATTGTACGCATACATGATCAGGTAAACAAGTTCAGGTTTACTGGGCTCAGGTGTACACGTTAAGCCCTTTGGTCAACCAACCCAATTACCGATTCTATGTCATTCCATCAATGGATTTATTATCACTTAATTGCATTACTCTTGTTTCCCAGTAAGGGCTCACTGAACCCCATGGCTCAGGAGGGGCCTGCCACTTTGTTGACAGCAGGGGACGATGATTGCTATCTATAATCCCAATTGAGAACTTTGCACTTAATATTTCACATTTGGCAAATTTGGAGCGTGACTGGCACGCAGCGTCTACTTTTGCGAACGGACGCCACGGGATCTTTCACGTCCACTGCTGTGAAACGGACGGTGTGTAGTATATTCTTTGGGTCTTTCGGTAAAGTCACGTAGATAGGTTCAAATAAAATAAAATAACCGAAAACTACGACGTTTCGATCGCAACACAAGCGCTTGTGTTATTTTCTTTGAACCTATCTACGTGACTTTACCGAAAGACCCAAAGAATATGAATTCCTGCAGTCACGAAAGCTTTAAGTCAAGGCGTGTAGTATGTTTTTACGGCTAATACACACACAGCATTGACTAGGCCGGCAGCTGTTTTTTTTTAACCGTGAATCTCAACAACAAACGGCGAATGCGCCACTGCTATGGTGGTGCCACCAACACTGTGATGAAAAAAAGAGTTCATGAAAAAATATTTGGTCTTCCATTTGCCACGACTCGCATTTGCAACGTGATAGCAGTATCGGAATTGGCATATTTATACTGGAGGAATTCAATGAGCAATAAAGCTCTTTTTTTATACAGATGTCTAGTAGGGGAGGGTCAGAAGGTTACAACAACAAACAATACAAAAACACGATAGCAGTGCAAAGTATAAGAAAGGTAAACACATCACAAAAAAACTCAACTGTTTTCATTTTACCAGGTAAAGTCAACTGAACTATTAGCTTCTTTTTCAGAAGCGACCTGGCCACAAATGACAGCTCAACGCAGTGGCTTATCATGTGGAAATGTACATCAGCCAAATACTCTAAATCATCTAAACACGTTTCTAAATGGTTGCCTGTGCAACACCCCCCCCCGCTCCGTCCCTCCCTCCCCCCAGAGTAAACCCTCAACTCTACACATCCCACTCCTTTCCTGCCTTGCTTTCCCCCGGCCATTGGAAATTCCAACCGCGGCAACAAAGAAGTTCAAACCTTGGTGGTCGTTTTGGGCTGCGCCCTTGGCCCCGTGGGACTGTCCAACCTCGCTGTCTGCAAGGGGTGTGTGGGTGGAGCCAGGGAAGAACGGGAGGTTAGAAACACAATTCATAGACGTACACACTGTATCATTGTGTTTTTTAGGTCAGCAGTGATGCATTGATTGCAATGGACGTTTTCATTGATAAACTACACATACGGTACGTATGTATATATGTGTATGTTGAACTTCTTTCGCACCGTACGTATCCGACCGTGCTAATCGGAGGTGCGGGGGAAGGACAACAAACTAAACACAAAAAGCAGTTCTAAAGAAATGAGTCTTCAATGTCGATTTGAAAGTGCACAGCTCCAGGTGGCTTCCTAATATCGGAAGAAAGAGCGTTCCAGACTGCCGCAGAAGCGCATCCGAAAGTGCGCGATGCGGTGACCGTCTTTGTTCGACGGCTCAGCCAAAAGCCGCTGCTGCGAGCAAGAGTTCACGTGATGGTGGTTTACCCTCCTTGACGAGATCATTGAGGCACAACGTCGCATATCCGACCGTCACCTGCCCGCCTTGACCAATGAACCGCAGCAGCAACGAGTGCAACGTTTGTGCGTGGTGCCATCGTTATTTTCTATAGACGTTCACAAATGTGACCTTTTCACACAGAGCGATGCGTTGTTCTTCTTGGTTAGCGATACTTCGTCGGCAGTGGTGCACAAGCAAATACAACTCAAAAACTCGTCAGTATTTGTCCATAGCACTGCGGCGCCCATCACAGCCTGCGGACCACCTGGAGGACAATCGCGGACCGCTGGTGGTCTGGGGACCGCACTCCGAACACCACTGCTCTATATTGACGCATATGTAGTGACATAGAATCGGTCACATAGCAGCATAGCGCTATCTGCTGGCAGGGAATGGGATCTGCAGCTCGCAGCAGCCCTCACTAACAGCAGGCCACGTGATAGACCAGAAAGGGATGTAAGGGAAAGGTTACGGAAGGGGCACATCGAGAACCCACTAGTATTTTATTGTTTCCCTTCAACGTGACTTTACCGAAAGAACCAAGAATATGAATCACTGCAGTGACGAAAGCTTTAAATCAAAATTTAACCCGCTAGTAGGTTCCAGAAGGGGGGGCGTGGCCAGGGGCGGAGCCGGGCCACGCTGGCAGTATAAGAGCGGCCCCTGGAGGCGACCTCGGGACTGTCGTGTGGAGTGGGGGGGGATCCCCATTGGGCTGCTGCTGGAGTCTTCACCGCCATCTCAGTCTTCACCATCTCGGCGTCGCTAATGAGGCAGTCTACCAGCTGTCCTGACCTGAAGCCGTAGTTACCCAGTGTGAACTGTTAAGGCCGTTTCATAAACAGAGTGCCTCCTACTCTTAGTGTCTCTGAGTCAGTCACTACACATATAATAACAATTTACAGTTCTTAAATGTATAGTAGGCTCCATAATAGAGTTTTTTTTGGGTTAGATCGCGTAAATATATAAATGTGTCATTAAAACCCGCCACCACCCGACAGCCAATTAGTAAGGGTTGTCACATAAACAGAACGTGCCAATTCGTCACTAGTACAGCACACTGGTGTGTTGGAGAGCCAAGCCACAACATTTACGATCTGAGTACTCAGATTTTAAATGTGTCGGGTGGTGGCGGGTTTTAACGACACATATATTTACGCGATCTAACTCAAAAAACCTCTATTATGGATAATATTAGGCTACACGTAGTTTATGCTTCGGAAAATAAAAAAAAACTGATGTACATGGGACATCCAACGTAAAACCTGCACATTTTTGTTCTGTATAATTGTAAAATAACGACATATCTTGACTTAAAGCTTTCGTGACTGCAGGAATTCATATTCTTTGGGTCTTTCGGTAAAGTCACGTAGATAGGTTCAAAGAAAATAACAAAATAAAAAACTACGATGTTTCGATTGCAACACAAGCGGTCGTCATCACCCCTTTTCTTGATGACATAGTTTTTTGTTATTTAGTTATTTTCTTTGAACCTATCTACGTGATTTTACTGAAAGACCCAAAGAATATAACGACAAATCGCTGCTGAAACGTTGTGCGGCGGTCCACGGTTAACGCCCGGCAGGTGGCTGCACAGAGTGACATCACGGCCGTGCAAAGCGGCCTGGGTGGCGGTGAGTGTCGTTGTCGTGTGCTCTGGGACATCAATGTGTGATCAAGTAACTGGTACAAAGGAAAAAGTCAAACCAGCTGGCAATAGACGTGGCCGAGTTGTGCAAAAGGTAAAACGGCACACGCCAGTCGGCTATTCGCGATGAGGAAGTGAGAGTGGGTGTCTTTTAAATGGCCGGCTGCCATGTCCCAAACGATTCGAAGCTTCTGGCATTTAGGCATTGCAACAGCGATGGGACAGGAGTGTACGTGTGTCATGGGAAATGCCGTGAAAATAGCGTGAGATTCATTCGAATTGTTTTGCTTTCGCATTTCCAGCAGTGCACGTTCTCTCTAAGAGTTGCAGGCTAACCTTGAAGGAACGTCCAATGTGAAATTCCAAAGCTGCAGGGCTATGAAGGTGGCCGAGGATCGGCAGTTGAGAAAAAAACGGGGTCTGACCTGTCGCTGTGTAGTTTGCAGTGATATCCTGCAACGTGTTTTTGTTTTCTTTGGGACATTTCATTTTCCTCCCGAATGTAAAAAAATATTCTCGTAAATCTTTTTTGCCAAAACAGCCTCAATTCAAGACCTTCCTGAGGACAACTCTGTGGACCAATTAAAGTTTTGCATGAGAAACATGCCTATGGAGAACCCTCTCATCAGTCAACTGCTGAATAATGGCCTTCCCACACCGTTTAGGTAGTGGGGGGTTATTTGACCATACTTCACCACACTGGTCCAATGCTTGTTGACGAAGGCAGGAAGCGTAGAGACATAAGCGTGGTACAATTCACTCGGAGACACGTCAGGTCTCGGAAGCCAAACAGATTTGAGCCTGGACAATGCTTGGATTGGTGACACACGCACGTACAGTGAGGGAAAAGAGTATTTGATCCCCTGCTGATTTTGTACGTTTGCCCACTGACAAAGAAATTATCAGTCTATAATTTTAATGGTAGGTTTATTTGAACAGTGAGAGACAATAACAACAAAATCCGGAAAAACGCATGTCAAAATCTGTATAAATTGATTTGCATTTTAATGAGGAAAATAAGTATTTGACCCCCTCTCAATTAGAAAGATTTCTTGCTCCCAGATGTCTTTTATACAGGTAACGAGCTGAGATTAGGAGCACACTCTTAAAGGGAGTGCTCCTAATCTCAGCTTGTTACCTGTATAAAAGACACCTGTCCACAGAAGCAATCAATCAATCAGATTCCAAACTCTCCACCATGGCCAAGACCAAAGAGCTCTCCAAGGATGTCAGGGACAAGATTGTAGGCCTACACAAGGCTGGAATGGGCTACAAGACCATCGCCAAGCAGCTTGGTGAGAAGGTGACAACAGTTGGTGCGATTATTCGCAAATGGAAGAAACACAAAAGAGCTGTCAATCTCCATCGGCCTGAAGCTCCATGCAAGATCTCACCTCGTGGAGTTGCAATGATCATGAGAACGGTGAGGAATCAGCCCAGAAATATACGGGAGGATCTTGTCAATAATCTCAAGGCAGCTGGGACCATAGTCACCAAGGAAACAATTGGTAACACACGACGCCGTGAAGGACTGAAATCCTGCAACGCCCGCAAGGTCCCTCTGCTCAAGAAAGCACATATACATGCCCATCTGAAGTTTGCCAATGAACATCTGAATGATTCAGAGGACAACTGGCTGAAAGTGTTGTGGTCAGATGAGACCAAAATGGACCTCTTTGGCATCAACTCAACTTGCCGTGTTTGGAGGAGGAGGAATGCTGCCTATGACCCCAAGAACACCATACCCACCGTCAAACATGGAGGTGCAAACATTATGCTTTGGGGGTGTTTTTCTGCTAAGGGGACAGGACAACTTCACCGCATCAAAGGGACGATGGACGGGGCCTTGTACTGTCAAATCTTGGGTGAGAACCTCCTTCCCTCAGCGAGGGCATTGAAAATGGGTCGAGGATGGGTATTCCAGCATGACAATGAGCCAAAACACACAGCCAAGGCAACAAAGGAGTGGCTCAAGAAGAAGGACATTAAGGTCCTGGAGTGGCCTAGCCAGTCTCCAGACCTTAATCCCATAGAAAATCTGTGGAGGGAGCTGAAGGTTCGAGTTGCCAAACGTCAGCCTCGAAACCTTAATGACTTGGAGTAGATCTGCAAAGAGGAGTTTGACAAAATCCCTCCTGAGATGTGTGGAAACCTGGTGGCCAACCACAAGAAACATCTGACCTCTGTGATTGCCAACAAGGGTTTTGCCACCAAGTACTAAGTCATCTTTTGCAGAGGGGTCAAATACGTATTTCCCTCATTAAAATGCAAATCAATTTATAACATTTTTGACATGCGTTTTTCTGGATTTTTTTGTTGTTATTCTGTCTCTCACTGTTCAAATGAACCTATCATTCAAATTATAGACTGATCATTTATTTGTCAGTGGGCAAACGTACAAATTCAGCAGGGGATCAAATGCTTTTTTCCCTCACTGTATGTATGTTGAACGTCTTTCGCACCGTACGTAAAAGTACATAAGCTCCATGTGCAAGAGACTAGACATGCATAAGCAATGCTAGTCTGTGGACCGTGTAATAAACCACTGTAGTCTAGAGGAGGAATAGCAAAAGTACACCAACTCTCTCTCTCTTTCTCTCTGCTGAAGCCCTCTCATCGTGGCAAGCAGACCTCGACATTGGCCTCGAGCTCCTGAACATATAGTCCAGTATTGCCACATGTACGTACATACGTTGAACTTCTTTCGCACCGTACGTGGCCAACCATGCCAAGAGGATGTTGCGGCGGGGGGGGGGGGGGGAGGAGGGGAGCTGGGGGGTGACAACAAACTAAACGCAAAAAAGGCACCAATAAGCGAGTTGTGCGCAACAATGTGAAGTCCTCACCGGACGGCTCGAAGCAGAACTTTTTCTTGTAGTAGGCGAAGTAACCGGCAGCGGCGGCAACAACGGCCGCCATGACCCCCGCCACGATGCCGCCCACCTTGGAGGAGCTGCTCTCGCTCTCCATGGCTGTGGCCGTGGATGGGGTTGGGCGTTGCGGGGGGGGGGGCAGGGGAGAAGATTTGGCGTCAGCAGAGGCACACGTGGGCACCGATTTGCACTCGGGAGTGCCGCCGCTGATGCTGCCGCTTGTCAAAACAAAGCCACGCTCGAGTGAGGCTCAGCTCGACTGCGATTTAATATGGGGGGATGAAAACAAAACTAATGCGCCATGTAATGATTATAAATAAATCACTGTTGGTGAGCGCAGGGCCAGAATGTCAAAATACCAAACAGGCCAGCAGCAACCAGCACGATTGAAGGTGCATTAGATTCGAGTCGACAAGGTTTCTTTGAATTGAGCAAGGTTATATAAACTTGTTGACGGGAGAATTCCAAAGTCGAACCGTGTGACCTGCAATACGGTGGTTGAGTTGAGCACTGTAGGTGAGGCGAAACAGATGAGAGAGTGAATCGAGAGTGAACTACCCTCTTCCCTCTCATCTCAATGTGCCCCCGTCCACCCACCCTCCCAGCTCTCCCCTCTCATCTTTCTCTACTGCCCTCAACGTCCACGCTCAAGACCTCTCCTTGTTTCCTCTGCCTATGACGAACTCAAACTTTCTGTCTAGAACGTAAAAATATGCGCATTGGTTCAACCCAAGAGGTGTTGCAGTCTGTACCGACAGTCCCGTTTCAAGGGATTCATTTCTGCCGGGTCTCTCCAGGTCCACAACTCGGATATCGATGCACACACGGCGCACCACACCCAGTATACCTCTCACGATGGCGGTGGCCATTAGCTACAGTCGCGTGCCTACTCCTGGTCCACCGGCATCGCGGAAAACATTGAGTGACAAATGAAGCCGTGGTCACGCGGGACGCAGGCGCCACCGCAGAACGGCTCGGGCGTCGCGCGTCAAACCCCGGAGGGCGCCGTACGTCGTGGGGTCTGTAGATACACCCCCCCCCCCCCCCACCACCCTCGCAATGCTCCCCATGCCCCCCCCCCCCCTACTTCGTACACGCGCACGACTCCCCACGCGCGCGCGGGTAAAACGTGATCCGCGGTGGGCCTGAAAGACTAAATTGTGTTCGCCCTCCTCCACTTTTTTTTTTACGCAACGGTGGCACTTGTTATTTTTTGAGAACTTGCAACGAACACATTTTTTTTTTCAAAATATGCATTTTTTTTTTTAACAGATAAAGCGCGAATCGGCGGGCCGCCGCCGCCGCCCTCACCCGTGTCTGGCGACGCTGAGCCCCCCTCCGGTGTCAAGTTGGCCCCGTCTCTGTTCTCCTTGCCAGGTTGCAGCACAGTCGTGACAGCGGGCGCCACTGTGTTCTGCGGGGCCTCCGACGTTTCTGGGTGGTGGGTGGGGATGGGGGTCACGCGAGAGCGCGCAGCGACGCGCCGTCATCTCAACGATCCACTGTGCGGACACCAACGGCCTAAAGAAACCCCGCACGGGCGCTGTTTTTTGTTGTCTCCCTGACCCTTGCGAAGAGCCCGACGCATTGGCCGGCCGTCACCGCGCGGAGCGGCCAGGGCTCTGCAAGCGGCGCCGAGATGCAGGGGCGGAACTAAACGTCGTGAGTCGAGAACGAGTCCCGTGACCGGGTGGCGCAGAGGTCAGCGCACTGAGTTGGCACCGCTCATGTCCCGGGGCTGTGAATCCAAGCAGCTGCCCACGATGAAGCTTCGTTCTCCAGCGTGTGTATATGTGTGTATGTCAGTTTGAAGCAGTTTTCAAGTGGAGTGAGTTGATGGTGTCAACCCGGTCACCGCTGACTGCAGATGCATTCAATTCGGTCCTGCAATTAATTTGGAAAAATTCCGGCTCCGGGATTTATAAATATCACGTGACAAACATTACACTCATATACAGAGCGGGTGGGAAAGGGCTGCCCTCTGCTGTGTGCACCAAAGGTTACTTGAAGTGATCTCGGAGTTATCTCTGTGACATACGCTTCAGTGGGGATGTCTCTAACACGGAGGGTGGCATTGCCCCATGAGATATCCGAATGAACAATGCGTCTCATTACATGGTGCCATTGGTAATTTTTTTATAAAATTGGAAACACATTCACACCTGTCAACCCATACGGTTTTCCCGTTTCAATACGGGCACGGAAAAAAATGCCCATTTGTTTGTATTTATCCGTTGTGATGGGACTTTGTAGGATGAACATTGAGATTTATAATGGTGCGGGGTTACCAATAAGGTCTAAATTGCTCTGTCATAAGATCGGCACTGATAAGGGGTTGACAGGTATGCATATTTATCGAAGAGAGATGTCTCGTTTGATTGAGCACTGTGCTCAATCAAATCTCAAGTTCAGATAAGTATTCACATTTCCTGTGGTCCCTCGGTTCACGATGCCATCAATTAACGATCCGCCTCCCATAGAGTGCCACTCTTCCTGTTAACGATACATTTTCGATTAACGACGCGTTTACGATATCACGCGGCCGCCAATTACGGCCAATCGGAGCGCTCCCACGTGAACTCGGCAGACCTCAGACAATCAGCGACGCCCTTTTACGAGGCGTTTTGAGAGCCGTAGGTAAGAATGTTTATTTTCTGTTCTATTTCTCCACCTTTTTATGCTCTATTCATTATTTATACATGTTTATATTAATGCTTTAACATGTTCTCATGACGTTTATGTATTACAATTTCGTGTTTAAATAGTACACACTTTGTTTTTAGGGCGAAAAAGGTCAACTTCTGATCGTCTTGGAACAAATTAAGCACTTTAACATGCATTTCCTAGTTTCGATGAATGATAATTTCAACTAACGATGGTTTTCGTTGAACCAATTAATGTCGTTAACCGAGGGACCAGTGTATTAGTGCTTAAACAGTGCAACACAGTGCCTCTTGGCAGCTTTAACGCTCTCACCGTAACCGTACAACATCACTGGTGAGGAATTAAGGGAAGAGAGAGAGAGAGAGACAAGGACAGTGGCAGTGGGACAACAACAAGCGTTCCCCGATCAAGTCAACAAAGCGGCGTGCGCGCACTCAGGGTCGTTTCGAACAATCACAACTTCCCGGGAATATCCGGAACCAAGGTGAGAACAATAAAGTTCACTGTCCGGGCACACTGGCCTGGCCCAAAGCGTTCTCTTAAACGCTCGTGATGTGGCCAAAAGAAAAGAGAGGTGCTTAGGCCGCTTGGCAACCACCGGACGACTTTGTGAATGAACTCGAATCGAAGGATTCCATCAGTGAGACACGCTTTAGAATGGCTCGTTTGTAACGGCACACACTATTTTTTTTTCAGTATTGAAGAAAAGTGTGCACGTTAAAAGATAAAAAAAATCTGTATATATTTATCGACAGATATGAATAGTTTCAACAGCATTTCGTTCTTCTTTTGTATCCGGGACATTATTGTGTCCATTTTTTTTAACATGGTATGAAAAATATATAAAAATGTATAATGAATAGCGTGACAAAAAAAAACCTCATAATTGCACTTGCACTGGTTTTGGCATCGGAAAAGTTTCTCACAACTCAGCATAAAATGTATTTAACCTTGGCAGGTGCTGGATTCAAGAAGGACATGTGCAGTATAAGCATGCACACGCACGCAAAAGACTCACAAACACACACGGCATGTTAATTAAAAGCAGCCTGGCATTTACTTTGTGCTTTCTGCCAAACAGCCCCCTTTTTGTGCCAAATTGCTAAAAGGCACCACGGCTCGATATTGCACAAGCAAACCGGCAGAGATACGTGGCATTGTCTGAGGTTTGTGCGCCTGGGAATCGTTCGCGGTACATAAATTCCTGTTCCACTCGCAACATTGGAGCCATGCCAGGGCCATGCCAAACCAGACCATCGTTGCGTAAAGAAGATGTCATGCTGTTGTTTCCAGTGTAGAAACAACAGCATGACATCCAGTGTAGAGGTTTAACAGTACCATGGACGCACAGTTGACACGGTGATGCGACGTTGGTCACCTTCTTGACGAGCAATTAATTTGTCATTAGCCCCTGCCCTTTGGTCTTGTTTGGCCCCTAGGTAGATTGAGAAGTCTTGTTAGGCCAGCGTATCACGGTTTGATCATGGTCAAACTACCCGTACCATGAAGGGCTTGCTGCTGGATCTGCTCAAGCGTGCCAGTAGAAAAAGGATGAAGAGTTACTGTGATCATAATAGACCTGTCTTACCGCTGTATGGTGGCGGGTCCGCGATGGTCGTGGATTCTGTACTGGCCTCTGCAGTTTCGCTGACTGTAGATTCGGTTGTTGAGGCTTGGGTGACCCCAGACTCCATGGTTGTGGACTTGGAATCAGATTGCTGAATTGTCATCGTCTCGACGGTGATGGTGGTGGCGGCGCTGGTGGCCACGGGTTCTGAAGTGGTCACTGTTGCAGGGGAAAAAAACCAGGGGATCGTTTACACACTCGTGGCGTGTACACAAAACAAAGGTCGCATCCAAAGAAAGATTTACCAAACAGAGGTACATCCGTCCGAGAGACACGATTGGAAAACATAGAGAGCTATTGGAGGTAGATCGATATATCAGGAGGGTGAAATCAAGAGGTGGACCAGTGCACCTTCAGAGTGCTATTGTTAACCTGAACTTGATCATGTAGAGTAACACACCGAATGAGTCTAAGTAAGAACGCATCACGTCAGTGCACACTATACTACCTCCTGCAACATGTTCAGAAACGTGGTCATTATAAAAAAATGGAAGATAAAAACTGAAAAATGCGCAGAGATTTCTCGTTGCTTTGTTGCTGTGCTTCATTGTTTTCCTTTTGTCATATCTGGCCCAGGTCACTTGCAAATGAGACTCCTCTGCTGGTCTTAATGAATTCTCAGCTGGATAAACAATATCAAACTTGAAACGTTGAGAAATGCACGCTTGAAATTCCATTGAGAGAGAGAGAGAGAGTGAGCGGGAAAAAAAGAAATTCATTGATTAGAGAGCGAACAAAAGTTGGAGACATCGTTCTGAATGTCAAGAAAAGTAGGTGGGCTCTGGCTGGACATCATCCATTTTCACGACGGGCACGTCACTGAAATGGATCATAGCTGGGACTCCGGCAACCTAAGGCGGAACACACCCAGGAGGATGTCAACCGTGAGAAATTGAGCGATTAGATCATTTCGGGTGCAGGTGTCGCAAGAATTGCTACATCTCGGAATCACGAGAGGTGGTGAGAGCTTGGGGAAGCCGTCAGTGGAGGATCGATCATGGCGATGATACGGAGACTTTAGAAAGACACGCCGTTGGACATGAGCGACATGTATTTATTTATTCGCCAAATGAATAATTCCGTTACCCTGGACTCCCACGTTCCCCTTCCATTTGCCAGCCAGTGCCCAACTCCTCCAGCCGCTCGGCTCCGATTCCACGAAAACAAACTGAGAGCAAAGCCGAACGCTGCGCCGAGACCGCTGCGTTCCCGACATCACGACTCGCCGCTCACCGGGCGGGAGGTGGCGGTGATTCGGACTTGCCACCCGCCCAACCGCCCGCCCGCTCACTCGACCCAGATGTGCGTTCAATGCACCCCTTTGTGCGGACGCGAAACGGTGATTTGAGCAAAAAAAAACCCGCTCTGGCATGCGGCAACTGGCGCCAGTGTTTAGCAGCAGCAGTGCTGATTAGCGGACCCTTGTATTTCTCTCCCCTCCCTCTCAACGGCTTAAGCGTTCGCTTGCCCCACTTGAATAAACTAAACTCAACTAATTTATTGACCAGGTGAAGCCCACTCGCTGAGCTGTGAACTCTTTTTTTTTAAGAGGCGACCTGGCCGCGCGTGATCATGGCTCATCGACAGTGGCTTATAACCATCATCCGTCATCATCATCATCACACGTGGGAATTTACAGCAGCAGCCAAATAATCTAAACGTGCGTTGTTTCTAAATGAAGGGGGAAGCGGGAGGGGGGGAGGCAAAACCGGAGGAACCGGAGAAAAATCCACGCGACCACGACAGGGAAAAAACCGGCGGACTCCAAATATACAGCAGCAGGAGCAGCGGGCATCGTCAAGGTTCGGGACCGAACCCACGACCTCCTGCACGCCAGGCGAGAGAGATGATATCTCGCCAATGAACGCAGTGAACGTTTGTCCTGTAGTCTACAGATTGTAAAAAAAAGGTCTCTGGAAAGTGAGACGTACTCTAAACGTCAATACGGTGATTCAAAACGGTCTAAAAAAACAAAGACACATCCCCCGTATAGCCTTAACATACTGATGGGGCAAGTGCTGTTCGTGAACACCTATGACGGCCGGAACGTCTCACGCCCGGCCGCCTTTGTCTCTCCAGTGGTGATGTTTTACACACCACGTACTCATTTGAGGCTGAGTCGACCTAGGGTAGGCCCAGCACCGGTTCAGATAATCGTAACCGGTGTTGGCTGTGAACGGGAGTCGAACTCAGGTGGGTGTGTTTGCAGTGCAGCACGCTAACCGCTACAATACCGCTCCCCACGAGACAAGACTGTCACACACGCAGCATTTTGATTATAAGAAGCACCCTCAGCTGTTTCTTTAGAATACCGGGGGATGGGGGGGTGGAGTGCGCCTTATAATCCTGAGAATGCGGTCGTTGTTATTGGACACCACGATGGTTGTCCATGGAGAAACAGTTGATCAAGAAGTTGAAATTAACCGAATCTATTAATTTACAGCAACTTGCCAATCCACCGCTATCCCGCTGGTGAGTGCGGGGTGAGGGGGGGGGTGACCAGGCAGGGATTTCGCTCGCCGCTGATGGTGGCCGTGGCCCCAACTTGCACTCAGCTCCCCAGGTCCGTGGCCGAGTGCACTAACCACTGGGCCACCACTCCACCCCAGCTCACTGCCAGAGGTTTTCTGGGTGGGGGTTCAAAATCTGTTTATAAATTCTAGTTTACTTTGAGAGGATCTCGCAAACAAAATGAGGAAGGAACGTAAGCACTCTTCCTTTACCCTTTTCACTTCCTCATTTTACCCTCAACCCTCGCAGCAAAGAATAAAATCCAAGGAATCCAAAACCTTTTACACTTCCTCGCTACCTCCTCCGCGCTCTCGATGGAACTACACTTTTGTTGTTCTCTATCACGTGATTGCATAATCTACAAGACTAAAAATTGTTCAGGTCTAAAAATTCACACACATGTATAAGTATGTATGAATGTTGAACTACTTTCGCACCGTATGTCGCCAACCGTGCTAATCGGAGTTCTAAAGAAATACGTTTTCAATCTGGATTTAAAAGTGCATAGCTCCCATGTGCAAGACTAGACATGCATGGGCAATGCTAGTCTGTGGACTGTGTAATAAACCACTATAGTCTGGAGGAGGAAGAGTAAAAGTACACCAACTCTCTCTGTCTGCTGAAGCCCTCTCATCCTGCTAATCGGAGGTGCGGGGGGAAAGACACAGGTGTGTGTCTTTAGACAAATATTTAACAATACAATTAGCATCAAAGTATGTTCGTATCTACAGACGTGTTTCTATCTGCAGACCACTCACGTGTTGTTCGCGTTGCATAAAGATGCGCGACTTCCATGAAATAATTTTGTCATCGCATGCGAGGTTTTTTAAGGAGGCTCTCGCTGTGCAATTTTTTTGTTGAAGTGCTTGCGAGACTAGCAGCAATCTGGCAGCATTTGCTGTCAAAACAAAGACTCGATTCCACGGAGGAAACTGACTCAAATGTTCCGGGTAGGATGGAACTTCAGGAAGCCGGGGGGACATATATTCAACTGTTTGACAGCAGGAAAGTCAGGTGCCATCACAACACGGCTTGGCAGGGTTGGGGAACATTTTCCTTACTGAGGGCCTGGACGGGAATGCTGCGTGCCTTTTGCGGGCAATTGCACATTGACACACACCTCGGTGCAAATGGCCTCTTATACTCGATGTTTTTGCCGGGTTAAGCAAAAAAAATTCCCACCTCCAGTACCCAATCAGTGCGGCAAAGATGCTTGTGGCGATTGATAATGGGAAAAAAAACAAATGCAGTCTGCGGGAAGTTTGAGAGCGGCAGGCCTCGTGTGGCCAAGGATCGGCCGTATGATGCGAGGTCGCGGGATTGGATGCGGCCTGTGGGCCACGGGTTCCCGACCGCTGCGTGAGGGAGTAAGGACATTGCTTTATTCTATTTTACATCTTGGCAACGACAGAGGGTTCCAGCCACTTATCCGCTCTCTGTTAGATACGTGTCTGTGGTTTTCACATTTTTTGGGGGTTTTGCTGAACGTCGTTCGGCATGCTGTCCAAAGTTAATCTCCACGTGCTGAAAACTTTTTCAGATCTCCTGAAGAAACTCAGACGGTGTAAATAATCTACCAGCACGTGGAGCAAAAAAGTCAGGTACCGTGCCGAACAACATGCGGTTACAACCCCAACAAATCAGATAACTTATGCAAGATTCCCATCAGCGACCGGCTTTTTAAGCTCATGGCATGGAACGCAAGCGCCATGCCTTCAAAACCACAGCGGTGCGCACAATCTGTTGTAATTTCTGTCTCTCTGCTCACTCTGTCCGCCAGCCTCTGTGTTTTACTTGCTGGGCCAGTCTCCACGATGCCACGCCAATGGGGCATCGTTAGATGGCGAGGTGAACCTGGTGTCCGGGTCGAGTGTGGAAAATGAGGAGGGAGTGGGCCTGTTACGGATTTGTAAACAGGAATTGATGTCATTGAGATCGGAAATGACACCCCATCTCCCTCAAGATGTTTCTTTTATTTCGTTCGGCAAATGTAAGCGGAGAAAAGATCGCCGTCCCAAACATGGCCATTGTTTACAGGAAATTGGTGGAAAATGAAGTCTCGAGTGCAACAGAGTTGAATGGGTGGGTCTAGGATGTGCTATCTATCCCTGAAATAATAATTATTAGAATAATATTCCTCTGTTTACTAACCAAAACTCACAACTCAAGACCATGTTTCAGTATTGCCCTCTGTAAATTCGAGCAGTTTGCTTTTACGTACTTTATTGCATCTTGCAAGAAACTGGGCTGTCAGAAAAAACCCATATATATGGATGGCTACCGCTCAAAATCCACACACGATCGTCAGACTACTTGGCTTCTGCAAATGGTGGTAGAGCCACCATTTTATAAGAGGCAAAATAAATAACCAGACAATATGTGTACAGTATTGTTTTTTATGTTGCAGGTAGATTTTCCTTCTCGTAATAATAATAATCTTAGGGTAATTCGTCAACGCTGGATCACAGGCGTGCGATAACACACCCGGGCACACAAAAAGCCACAGCCGTATTCTGAATACCAACGCGTTTTAAATGTGACCTGAAACACGATGCATTTGCAATCGCTGACGCCGGCACGAATTATTTCTGCGTGCCATTTTTTCAAGATGTATATGATAGTATATTGGGCCGTACGTTGAAAGGAGGCTTATTACATTTCTATGGACATTACATGTAAATGTCCACGGGGCTGCCATTGCAAATGCTGGACCGTAATTAAACACACATTCATCAAACACTTGTACAACGCCAAGTTACTAGTCCAGGCATATACCTTACGACTGCGTAATGCGCCGTGTGTGTGTGCTCAGATACTGCCTGCAATTGAAGATGCTGCAAACGCATCTGTTTAATGCGTGGCACAGTGACACGACACACAAACCGCACACAGATGTCTTGCATAAAGAGGGAAAAGGCTGGCGTCTCTGCAGGGCGATTCTCCAATTGCGTTTGCGACTTCGAGTGCCACGCGACGGTTATTCGCAGTCGTTTATTCAGAAGGTACATCTTCATCTCCCGCTGGGGGGCAACGCTCTTCATTATTGTTTTTTTTTACTTGGAACATTTCTTTAACTACGTTCTGGGCACGGTTTAGGCCCTGAAGTAAATGTGCACGTCTCTCGGCACACGTTACCGTGGCCGAATGTCCAACGCCAAATCAGTTTTATGACCATTCCTTTTATGCCCGATTATAAATAACATTTTACAGCCTTGGTAATGCTGATATTTTTGGTGTTAAGGCTGTTTCACGCTAATTTCATGGTCGTTTTTGGATGTTTTGTGCACTATATTCCTACTTTATTGCTCGCAGGTCACTCTTGCCAATGAGACTCTATAACATTGTCTCTTAAGAGTTCTCAGCCCTAATGAAAATGAAATAAGCTTGACTCACCCAAAACAAGAGCCATACAATATAGACCTTTAAATACATATATGTGAAAATATAAACACTATATGGCACTTGAAGCTGGTTATAATCACCAGCGAAACGTCGTACTCGAATTGTAAATGTGTGTTTACTCTCCAACACACCGGAGGCCCTCAGCCAGCAGTGGATTGGCAAAAGGGCTGCAATCAATATATTGTCGATTTTGGCTTTTCAAAATTTATGATTTGCTAAAAAAAAACAAATCAATTAGCATATTTGCCGACTTGACTACTTGATTTTGATTGGCTCTTTTGTTGTTGGGGAGGGATTTTTATATACTAGCTGTACTACCCGGCTTCGCCCGGGACTTGGATCCACCACGCCCGACCGCCTTTGTCTCCCCAGTGGCGATGTTCACACACCACAGCAGTTACTCGTTTGATGCTGAGTCGACCTAGGGGAGGCCCAGGAGCGGTTCAAATAATTGTCACCTGTGGTGGTCGTGAGTGGGAATCGCCGGGTTCGTAGCGTAGTGCGCTGACCACTACACTACAATGCGTTACGCTTCCACATGAGCGGGTCACGTGACAGATTTGACGTCACAGCTCACTTTCCGTACAAAAAAATCTATGCATTATTGAGCTCCCCCCCTCCCCCCCCCCCAAAAAGTGTATTTTTCTAATTTTTGCATGGTATACAGTCTGGAAAGTACCCACATGGCTAATTTCAAGTTTGTTGCATGTCGGGAAGTGCGCTAAACATTTTGAACAGACACACATATTCACACCTGTACACTATATAACCTAAAAAGAAACTGATTATGAATCCTAATATTGGTCACGAAAGCCGACGTTTAAAAGTGGCGTTTGGCTTCACACTTCACGTTACCTGTTGTGTTGTCTGAGATGGGCCCAGGTAATGTCGTGGTGTCTTGTGCAGAGGTATCTGCAAGGGAAGAGGCAAACGCGCAGACGTCACTCTCGGTCGGTGTTCACCGTGCCCCGTGTGAAAGATCCTCAGACCTCTCTGCATGATCGGAAAAACGCACAACTTTGAAACTGAACACAGAATTGAGGTGCAAACGATCGGGCGCACTGGTGACTGCGCAACACAACCACAGCACAACACAACAACGATAGCATAACACAACGACAGTGGAACACAACGATAGCATAACACAACGACAGCGTGTTGTGGTAGAACGAGCGGACTGCACTCAGCAGCTATCCTGGACGCCGTGGAATGGCTCACAATATTAAACGTGCAACCGTAGGACTTTAGCTTTTTTTTCAAATGCCATGTGAAACAAGAAGAATAAGAATCCAACAAATTAACACCTGGTCACTTATTTTGACGTATGTATGTGTTGAACAAAACGTCCTGCTATTTATCGGTCCTTACTTTTTTGTTCAAGCTCGAAAGAAAAAAAGCATGTTCGATAGGCTAAACACAGATAGGCGAAGCCATTAGTTCAAGCGTTTGCTTCATCAGGCATAAACTTACATAACCCTACTCATGACGTATCTCTGAGCACAAATGCGTGTGTGTGAAATTGTGTCCAAGTCCTAAAAGTTAAGTCAAACAAAATGTAAATGAGTAATCTATGTTGCTATTTTCTTCCTGAACTAAAGGGCTTAATTTAGTTTTGTTGGTATCCTTACGCAGCGGGCGAATAGAAGCCACCTAAAATCATGCATATGCAATGATGGATGCACGTGGCTGAAGAGTCCTCACAAGGATGAACTCTGCACACGGTTGACTTGTCTTCCTTCTGATACCTAAATTAAGAATGCCGCAATCTTTTTGACGGCCACAAGTCTGTACGCAGAATGTGTCCATAACCGTGACGATATCATCCTGATATGCAAAGTATACTGGGATTTCTGTTAATATATTTTTTATTTTAGAACATCATTTGTTGTTTTGTCAGTCAGAACACATGGGTTTGTTGTTGTTGTTTTCTCCCTCCTGGCTGTCAAATTGCCTCTTGAAGGTGCTTGAATTTGGTAAAATGAAACTTAGCACACGCCAGGTCATCGTAACGTCACTGCTGGCCATTAGTCCACCACGTACGCTGCTAAGGCAATGTTTTTCCACGGCCATGTTGCTGAAAGGCGCGCGTGAATATACGTGTTAGGACCTACGAAAAAAATCCCTCCCGCTCACAGAGGAGGGCTTCCTGCTTTTTACTTTGCGTCTGAGTAGACTTTTCGATTGAACAAAATAAATCCCCAGTTACATTCTGGTGATGACTTGACCCAGCCAGCAGGCCGGCCTGGTTAATACCGCGGTTGGTGTATCAACCGTAAAACAAATACTCCGACGCGCCGTCCGCTTCACAGCGAATGATTAATATCCGGTGACGTTTTTCTCTTAAAAGGACTAGTCCACGTGTGTTACCCGCAAATGAAATGCACTTTAATCGAGTAAAACCACCAAGCAACATCACACCTTTCGCCTCGCCGCTCTCCGAGTGGCATGGTTATAACCACATCTGCTGGTTGGGTGTCGCTATCATTGGTTCATTAACATTGGCGGCGTCCAAGCGGTCATTTTTAAAGGCGAAGACACGTCAAGAAGGCCGGGCTCTTTGTGTCACTTGCCTTTTGTCGACGGGTTCACCCAAGATGTCGATTATTTAAAGAAACACACGCGCTCCGAAAGAATGTACTGGCGGAATCGTCAACGCCTCTGGGAATTAGATAGGCGAGTTGGAATAGTTGGCGACAGTTCCTGCCTTTGTTGGATAGTCGGGGACTCTTCCAGTTTAAATATCCCACACCACACACACACGCACACAGACACACACGTGTGTGTGTGTATGTATGACCAAATCGATCATTGTGTTAGTGTGCAGGTTTGGATCATGAGAATAACGTACCGCGTTGACTTTACAGAGCTTCACTTGAAGCGCACTGCTTGGGCAAATGCGAAATACGCCAAGGTACAGTCACCGCCCGAGGGATTAATTCCATATCGTGTTATATTTCTGAATTTAAAATGCATGATTTCACCTGCACTTAATTAACCATTCCCCGGCGGTTAAATCATTTACTTTATTCAACGCAAAGCAAACAGCACTTTGTCTCCAAACCGGATCAACAGTGTAACAGCATAAACGGCTTTACAATTCACATCCACGAGTAAATGAACGCAGCGAATATATGGGACGTGTGTCTTGTAACCCTCACAAACAACTAGGCACACCTCTTGTGTGTGATTAAGTTTTCGTGACGCTAGAGCGATAGAACGCCATCTAAATTGGGTTTTTTTCCCCCCAATAATTTTCTTGGGACATTTCTTTAAATGAACAGATCCGAGTTGTTGCCAATTCGACAGGGATCGTACTCTACACGTGTGCATGTGTTAAATATTAATCGTCGATTCGGCACACTAATCCTGAAAGCAAATAATGATGCTTCCCGTTTGGAATCTGTCGCAGTGATATATATGTGTGTGTGTTAAACCGTACAGTCACAAAACAAAACAGCGCCGTCCTTGATATCAGCGTTTCGCAGTGTGGGTAATTGCCAATTTGGCACGGACTAATTTTTCCAAAATATCTCCTTCACTCCCACCCCATCCCCCACCCAACCGTGAAACACGATCCAATACCCCCCATCTAACCCCCCACCTCCCCGTCCACCCACCAAAACACATTTTGCATCCTCCCCCGCGCTGGAGGGCAGCGTCCCTGAATTTTCTTATCTTGCGCCTTTAATTGTCTCGCACCAGCAGGAATCCCCAACGGAAGACAGAATGTGTAAGTGCGTGTGCGTACGTGTGTACGCCCAGTGGTGGTGTAGCGATTAGCGCGCTGCACTACGAACCCGGTGACCCGAGTTCTATTCCCGCTCACGGCCAACACCGGTGACGATTATCTGAACCGGTCCTGGGCCTCCCCAAGGTCGACTCAACCTCATATGAGTACCCGGTGCGGTGTGTAAACATCGCCACTGGGGAGACAGAAGGGGTCGGGCGTGGTGCTGGTCACCCACCAACCTCGTGCGCCGTGCCTGCCTTCACAGGTGCTCGCTAACAGCACTTGCCCCAACAGTCCGTAGAGTTTGTCCGGGGATCTTTGCCTCTGTACGTGTGTAAGTGTGTGCGTGCCCGGGATCCTGGCCACCGCCCTGCCCGCGTCGGTCCCAGGGGGTTCGCTCTGAGCTCGCAAGCCGGAAAGCCCGCAGCTTGTGGGGTTTTAAATAAAGGAGAGTTTGGGAACAAAATAAAAAAGTGGTGATGCCACGAAACACTGCGAAGTGGTCCCAGCTTCACGCAGAGGCACGTACGGTATAAGCGTGGAAATAAAAAAATAAATGTGCTAGTCAGTCAGCCTAGTGGATTTCCAGACCAATTCGTAGCATCCCAGCGGCCGTGTGTCTCAGTGAGCAAACTGTGGACTGGTTGGGACCGCCCTTCTGGGTCTCATCAGCAGAGTCGAGATTTGTTACAAAAAAAGAACGAGTGCTGCATCCACAGATGTTATTGCCGAGAGCACTCCATCTAAACTGTGGGCCCCTGTTAATAAGATGCGCTTCATAAAGGCATTGACTCACAACGCTCCACAGCAATACAGAACGAGTTTGTTTACAAAAAACAAACAGATTGGGTGTGGCCTTGGGACATTTTGAGTTTACTTCCCAGCAAGAATCACTCATGGGACCAACAACTTTGAGTGTGTGCAAAGTCACCATCATCATCATCAGCCATGATCAAGCCAATGCTAGGTGAAGCTGTCCATCACCATCATCATCAGCCATGATCAAGCCACTGCTAGATGGTCTCTATCATCTTCATCATGATGATGAAGCCACTGCTAGATGAAGCTCTCCACAAACTGGTTGCCGTCTCGCTCAGTCACAGGGATGCGCCAATCCATCGAGCTCCTCATAAGTTGATGTGGCAAAACGGTCGCTCCTTGCCCTTTGCGTTTCACATCACTCGTTAAGAGTACTTGCTACAGATCACCACTAATACGACTACTACTACATCTGCAGTTGACTGGCAAAAGGGTCAAAGTGGCCTCCACCCCAGCCAGGCAGCCAGCCACTCGCAACAGCCCATGCCTTCGGAGCACGGAATCTGTTGCCTCTTGGGCCAAGAGATGACTCCTCTCGCCATGTCAAGGTCACCAACAAAAATACTACGTTGTGAGATGTTAACAGGTGGCAGACCTGTGGGGAGACTGGCCCCTGCCATGGGAATGTAGATTTTCCCACCACTGGCACAGGGGCATTGCTGACTGTAATAACGACCCACCCACCAAACACACACCAACAATGCGCTTTTGACGGTGGACACAACCACTCTGACTATTTCCCTTGCCTGCCAAAAGAGAATTTCACTTGCCGGAGAAGTTTGTCAATGGAATGCTCTGTTAATCAACATTTCGTGCATTACCCAGCACGGTGATTACCATTGCCGAAACGTGTTTTAGATGCGCATTCTTTAGGGGCACTGCCGTCCAAACGGCAGGGCCTGTTGAGCGAGCTCGCGCGCGTGTTCAGAGCATCGCGTGCCACAGAGGCAGGCGGTGGCCCCTTTTTTTTCATCGCGTTGTTTACTTCTTAGTCTCGAGATACATTTATGATCTCGAGATACATCTCGAGATACATTTATATCTCGAGATACATGTACATACTTTTATAATCTAGAGATATATGCATAATCTCGAGATACATTTATATATGGAAATATATTTTTTTAAATATCTCGATATACTTTTATATCTCGAGATACTTTTATAATCTGGAGATTAATTTATATCTCGAAATACTCTTAGAATTTTGAGATACTTTTAGAATCTCGAGATACGTTTACAATTTCGAGACTTTTAGATGTTGTCCTTGGACGGTCGTTCTCACGGTACGATGAGATGCTGGTGGGGACGGAGGGATGCTGGTGGGGACGGAGGGAGGAGTGGGGGTGGTGTACCGGCGTGG